CCGCTGGGCCTGCTCTGTGCGTGGTCACAGTTCCCTCTACCTTGCCGGTGCAGGGGGAGGGGGCGGCTCTGCCTCTCAGCAGGTCGCTGCTCCTCTTCTGCCGGTGGGTCGCAGGCCCGCCTACCTTGCAGGAGTGATTGGAAGCTCTGTCCCACCGCGGGCCACTGGGCCTTTTCTGTCGGTGGTCACCTGGCAGGGGCGTGGGGTGGGGGGTGGCTCTGCCCCTCAGCAGGCCGCTGGGCCTGCTCTGTCCATGGTCACAGATCCCCTACCTGGCAGGCGCGAGGGGTGGGGGGCGGCTCTGCCCCTCAGCAGGCCGCTGGGCCTGCTCTGTGCGTGGTCACAGTTCCCTCTACCTTGCCGGTGCAGGGGGAGGGGACGGCTCTGCCTCTCAGCAGGCCGCTGCTCCTCTTCTGCAGGTGGGTCGCAGGCCCGCCTACCTTGCAGGAGTGATTGGAAGCTCTGTCCCACCGCGGGCCACTGGGCCTTTTCTGTCGGTGGTCACCTGGCAGGGGCGGGGGATGGGGGGTGGCTCTGCCCCTCAGCAGGCCGCTGGGCCTGCTCTGTGCGTGGTCACAGTTCCCTCTACTTTGCTGGCGCAGGGGGAGGGGGCGACTCTGCCTCTCAGCAGGTCGCTGCTCCTCCTCTGCCGGTGGGTCGCAGGCCCGCCTACCTTGCAGGAGTGATTGGAAGCTCTGTCCCGCCGCGGGCCACTGGGCCTTTTCTGTCCGTGGTCACAGTTCCCCTATCTGGCAGGCGCGGGGGGTGGGGGGCGGCTCTGCCCCTCAGCAGGCCGCTGGGCCTGCTCTGTGCGTGGTCACAGTTCCCTCTACTTTGCCGGCGCAGGGGGAGGGGGCGGCTCTGCCTCTCAGCAGGTCGCTGCTCCTCTTCTGCCGGTGGGTCGCAGGCCCGCCCACCTTGCAGGAGTGATTGGAAGCTCTGTCCCACCGCGGGCCACTGGGCCTTTTCTGTCGGTGGTCACCTGGCAGGGGCGGGGGGTGGGGGGTGGCTCTGCCCCTCAGCAGGCCGCTGGGCCTGCTCTGTGCGTGGTCACAGTTCCCTCTACCTTGCCGGTGCAGGGGGAGGGGGCGGCTCTGCCTCTCAGCAGGTCGCTGCTCCTATTCTGCAGGTGGGTCGCAGGCCCGCCTACCTTGCAGGAGTGATTGGAAGCTCTGCCCCGCCGCGGGCCACTGGGCCTTTTCTGTCCGTGGTCACAGTTCCCCTACCTGGCAGGCGCGAGGGGTGGGGGGCGGCTCTGCCCCTCAGCAGGCTGCTGGGCCTGCTCTGTGCATGGTCACAGTTCCCTCTACCTTGCCGGTGCAGGGGGAGGGGGCGGCTCTGCCTCTCAGCAGGTCGCTGCTCCTCCTCTGCTGGTGGGTCGCAGGTCCGCCTACCTTGCAGGAGTGATTGGAAGCTCTGTCCCGCCGCGGGCCACTGGGCCTTTTCTGTCCGTGGTCACAGTTCCCCTACCTGGCAGGCGCGAGTGGTGGGGGGCGGCTCTGCCCCTCAGCAGGCCGCTGGGCCTGCTCTGTGCGTGGTCACAGTTCCCTCTACCTTGCCGGTGCAGGGGGAGGGGGCGGCTCTGCCTCTCAGCAGGTCGCTGCTCCTCTTCTGCCGGTGGGTCGCAGGCCCGCCTACCTTGCAGGAGTGATTGGAAGCTCTGTCCCACCGCGGGCCACTGGGCCTTTTCTGTCGGTGGTCACCTGGCAGGGGCGTGGGGTGGGGGGTGGCTCTGCCCCTCAGCAGGCCGCTGGGCCTGCTCTGTCCATGGTCACAGTTCCCCTACCTGGCAGGCGCGAGGGGTGGGGGGCGGCTCTGCCCCTCAGCAGGCCGCTGGGCCTGCTCTGTGCGTGGTCACAGTTCCCTCTACCTTGCCGGTGCAGGGGGAGGGGACGGCTCTGCCTCTCAGCAGGCCGCTGCTCCTCTTCTGCAGGTGGGTCGCAGGCCCGCCTACCTTGCAGGAGTGATTGGAAGCTCTGTCCCACCGCGGGCCACTGGGCCTTTTCTGTCGGTGGTCACCTGGCAGGGGCGGGGGATGGGGGGTGGCTCTGCCCCTCAGCAGGCCGCTGGGCCTGCTCTGTGCGTGGTCACAGTTCCCTCTACTTTGCTGGCGCAGGGGGAGGGGGCGACTCTGCCTCTCAGCAGGTCGCTGCTCCTCCTCTGCTGGTGGGTCGCAGGCCCGCCTACCTTGCAGGAGTGATTGGAAGCTCTGTCCCGCCACGGGCCACTGGGCCTTTTCTGTCCGTGGTCACAGTTCCCCTATCTGGCAGGCGCGGGGGGTGGGGGGCGGCTCTGCCCCTCAGCAGGCCGCTGGGCCTGCTCTGTGCGTGGTCACAGTTCCCTCTACTTTGCCGGCGCAGGGGGAGGGGGCGGCTCTGCCTCTCAGCAGGTCGCTGCTCCTCTTCTGCCGGTGGGTCGCAGGCCCGCCCACCTTGCAGGAGTGATTGGAAGCTCTGTCCCACCGCGGGCCACTGGGCCTTTTCTGTCGGTGGTCACCTGGCAGGGGCGGGGGGTGGGGGGTGGCTCTGCCCCTCAGCAGGCCGCTGGGCCTGCTCTGTGCGTGGTCACAGTTCCCTCTACCTTGCCGGTGCAGGGGGAGGGGGCGGCTCTGCCTCTCAGCAGGTCGCTGCTCCTATTCTGCAGGTGGGTCGCAGGCCCGCCTACCTTGCAGGAGTGATTGGAAGCTCTGCCCCACCGCGGGCCACTGGGCCTTTTCTGTCCGTGGTCACAGTTCCCCTATCTCTATTTTTATTTTTAGTACATATTAATTATACAGAATAATGGGTTTTATTGTGACACATTCATACATGCACAAAACATATTTCGATTATTTCCACACCCATGAAATTTAAATAGTGAGACTCAATCTATAAAAAACATAATAAATGCTTTTAGACATTGTGAACCTGAAGCCTCAAATGTGTACAATAAGTACATAAAGCTAGAACTCTGAAGCCTCAATGCTCTATATTTTTAGCATCCTTAGAGAAGACCTTGGACAATGAACAAAGTTTTATATGGAGAATAAGGATGTCGCACTCTGAATAATAACTATTCATTTCTGCAAATCAAAAGGAAAGTAAAACCATCCTTTCCTTATTTTAATATTTTATCTTTTTACATGTAAAAATCCTTATGGGTTAGAGTTAGGTTAGCCTATCAGCACAGTTTATTTGGATTAAGAAGATATGAACATGGAGACTTTATATTGATACTGGGGAACTAAACAAACTAAATGCTAAAAGAGGGATGACTTAAAAAAAGTTTGGTGACTTTGATGGTTATGTTTATTAACTAATAATAAAATCAGAATTACAGAACAATATAGTATCTTCACAGAGAAATTATGCCAGGCACCAAACATTTAAATATGTCTTAGTTTTTAATCTTAGAAAAAAAAAAACTGGGCCTGTGACATAAAAAAAAATATATAGAAAATTTACCTTTATTGGGATGAGTAATAAGAAGAGGTGAGAAGGCATAAATAAGGAGGGAAAATAAATGAAGTCAGAAACAATAAAAAGTGTTATAAGTAAATTTCTAATATTGTGATATCTACCTATATAGATTTTTTTAGAGACAGAGAGAGAGAGAGAGAGAGAGAGAGAGAGAGAGAGAATTTTTTTTTAATATTTATTTTTTAGTTTTTGGCGGACACAACATCTTTGTTTGTATGTGGTGCTGAGGATCGAACCCGGGCCGCACGCATGCCAGGCGAGTGCGCTACTGCTTGAGCCACATCCCCAGCCCCAACCTATATAGATTTTAATAAAAATAATAAATCTTCCCTCAATATACTAATATGCCTGCTCATTAGACCTAACAAAATACAGATGACAAATATAAGAATGTCCATACTTTTGAAATTGGAAAAATTCTTTTCATGAGCAGTGAAAATACAGTGTAACTTAATGATATGAATTTAGAATTTAATTATCAAACTCAATACAAGACAAGTGAGCTAATATGATGAACCCATAGAAATATAAAAAACAAAAGCGAGCCAGGCATGGCAGTGCACTCACACCTGTAATCCCAGAGGCTCAAGACCAGCCTTAGCAGTTTAACAAGGCCCTAAGCAACTTAATGAGAACCTGTCTCAAAATAAATAACTTTAAAAAATGACTGAGGATGTAGCTCAGTGGTAAAGTGCTCCTGGGTTAAATCTCCAGTACCATAACAAATAAACAAAGAAAACAAAAAGAGCATAAAAAAGCTTAATAAACTACAAAATGTCTTCATAGTATAAAAGATTCCAGTAAAAGAGCCTTCCAGAATTTTTTCTTGTTTTCAAGAAGCTTTTGCTCTATTGTTTCTTTGATAACAATAGAATATGCTGGGAAATCAGGGAAGGATTTGTTCATCTGACCTAACTGTGGCATAAGATCTTACAAAACAAGAATCTGTTACAGAGCACAAGGATCTGTAAGAAATCCTGGTCAATTTTATGGTTCTGTATTAATAAATGAAAGAACTAGAGTATATGTGAATTTATAACTTCTTAGATTCACTTTGTACTATGGTTACTTTAAAAATACCGGTGAGAACATTTATAATTTGTTACTTTTCACTAAAATCTAAGGGACATACTGTGCACCTTCAAGATCTATGGGACACTTTTTTGCCCTGTGTCCTATCTTCTGTAGCAGTATACCACTTCTTCAGAGAATGGATTAGAAAGACATTTAAGCTTATTATATAGAAAGGTGTCATACCCTCACATCGAGGTACATAAGGAGAAAAATTCAAGAATTATAAATTCTTAGAAAACATAAAAGATCCTTTGGGCACTGGCAAGGAAAATGTCAACAAGTCAAAAGATACTAGATAGCTATTGACCAGTTTCACGAAGGCAAAGCTGCAAGCCAAGATGAAATAATGCTTTCCCACCATGTGTCTAAGGCTGCAAATGACACTAATCCTTTTTAATGGTCATAAAAGCTGACAACTTACTCAGCCTTAGAACTGAAGGCACAAAATCATCTCAGGGAATGACTCACCATAAACAGGTCGCGAGCACCAATGTCAACAGCTAGGAGAAATGCCTTTTCAAATCTCTGGTACCTATGAGGAAGAAAAGAAAGGTATCTTAGTTGTGAAAAAAACATATAAGGGGAGGGGAGGGGGGGATAGTAGAGGATAGGAAAGGCAGCAGAACACAACAGACACTAGTATGGCAATATGTAAATCAATGGATGTGTAACTGATGTAATTCTGCAATCTGTATATGGGGTAAAAATGGGAGCTCATAACCCACTTGAATCAAAGTGTGAAATATGATATATCAAGAACTATGTAATGTTTTGAACAGCCAACAATAAAAAATTTAAAAAAAAAACATATAAAAGAAGAGAGCTGTTTGTTTAATGTATTTATTCAGTATTGTTTCGATTCTTTCTGGTGGAAAAAATATTTTCAAAGAGAAGGGATTTGGCCTGCTAGGATCTTCCATTTATGAAATGTTATTGTACTTAGGAGGAGCTGAGACAGAGTCTGTGGAGGCCATAGGTGTAATTTCCAAGAAACACAAATTCAAGTACACATTGCTAAATATGGGAAATGACAGCTTGGAAAATACATTTTAATAATTTTTTAAAACTATTTTATTTTTTAGTTGTAGTTGAACACAATACCTTTATTTTATTTATTTTTATGTGGTGCTGAGGATCGAACCCAGGGTCTTGCACATGCTAGACGAGCGCTCTACTGCTGAGCCACAACCCCAGACCCATTTTCATAATTTTTACTTCAGTGTATGTGGGCATGTGGGTGTGTGTGTTTTGTCACCAGGGATTGAACTCAGGGTACTTTACCACTGAGCCACATCTCTCAGCCCTTTTTTTATATTTTATTTAGAGACAGGGTCCCACTGAGTTGCTTAGGACCTCACTAAGTTGTTGAGGCTGGCTTTGAACTAGTGATCCTCCTGCCTCAGCCTCTCAAACTATGGGGATCATAGGCATGCATGCACCACTACACCTGGCTTACTTCACTGTGCTTTATAAGAGAAAATTATGGGGATATAGAGAACAAAGAAAGAGAAGAGCAATTAGTCATATCATATTTTTGTGCTTTTTAGGTAAAAGTTGGGATATTAAATGTTGTTTCAGTCAAAAGCTTTATATTTGAAAAGAAATTCTAGGCTGTTATAAAATAGAACATAAATATCTTCTGAATTTTTAAAACATATATTACTTTTCTATACTTTTCCATAATCATACCTTCCCTGAAGTAAAATTTTGATAATTTTCTTTGTGAAAGTCTAATTCTAGGCAGATAAACATGAGAACAACTCACAGTTTAATTATCTCCACAGAAAGTTTAAGATCTATAACAAAAATTATCTCATAAATGCATATATTGCATAGGTTTTCGGAATGAAAGGTGGTCTCTATTTTGTCCAAGTCCTAAGATTTATATATATGTAACTGTCAGTTTCTTTAACTATAGGAAGATACATAAGTTATTAACTATAGAAGATACATAAGTTATTCTCTGTTCTCTATTATATATTGTAAAATACAGTAGTAGGAAAGATAATGAGATTTCAAATAAAAATAACAAGTGTTGAACATTCATTATTATTATTAAACATATTTGTTGAATAAAATTCAATACTTATTAATATTATATATGAGCCATTAAGTCCAAAACCTGAAACAAGAGTACGATTTCCAGGTTATATTTGATGACTCTTGCCCCATCTCCTCGCTCATTCTTCCCAATACCTCCAGTATTTGCTTGAATGCTTCTCAACTGTTCAAGATCATGAGGAAATTTTATTTTTGTGGATGAATAGTGTTTTACACCAGGAAGCTTACTGATTTATTATGTACTCAGGGGAGGTAAAATTTAGCAAGAAGAGGTCAAAGAATTAGCCAGCTGTGCTACTTGTTCATGCCTTCACTGCCATTTTGCATTGACCTCTACTGTAACTATTCTGGCAACAGTAATCATCCATCTTCAAATGATCAAACCTAAACATAAGTTCTGATCTTATGTGCCCTTTGGCCATATCTAATCCTATAAACCGCCCCTGTACTTCCTTGGCTTTTTCATTTCTTGGATGGAAATTTCTGTCTTCTTTTCTAGTTCACATTTCTCTACCTCCCATTGAAGTTGGTGTTCTACAGTCGTCTGTATTTCTACACACTACAACCTCAATAGCCTTATTATTACCACTATGACTATGAAAACCAATTATATCAATGACTCAGAACTCTTATCTCTAGGATCCATCTCTTTCTTGAGCTCCACACCCTTTATTTTCATGCACCCTCTTTATTTTTGTGATATAACATTTATATAAAATTTATGCTCTTAGCAAATCTTTATATATAATACAGTATTTTAAACAATAGAAACAATGCTGTATATCAGGTCTCTAAGACTTATTCATCCTGCACATAGTAAATTTTATACTTTTTGATGCATTCCCTGCTCTTCACCCCTAGGCCCAGCAGCAATCATTCTACTCCATGCTTCTATGAGTTTGACTATAGATTACTTATGTAAGTAGAATGATATGTAGTATTAGTCCTATTGTATGGCTTACTTTACTTAGCATAACACCCTCCAGATTCATCCATATTGTCAAAAGAAGGATCTCGATATATCTTTCTCTTTCTCTCCCCCAAACCTCGCCCCCCCAAAGATAAATGACATTCCATTGTCAGTAAATACCACACTTTCGTTGGCAAGTAAATCAGTTTTATTGATTATACTGCAATGTAATGAATGATGAAGATCACATTAGAACTTCAGAAGTATTTGATTTTTATCTTATTTAATTCTCTTAAGAAATAGAAATTGACTAATCTTCATGGAACTTCCTAATTCGCTTTGTAAATGAGCCTGGTACTGTGAATTTTAGAGATATTCATATGTTGTTTCTGTTGCAGTGTTTCTCAAAATTTTTGTTTCATTGTTTCCTTCTTTCCCCAAGGACCTTTCTCTTTAAAAAATAATTTTTTAAAAATATGAACTCTCCAACTTTTCAAATGTTGGCTAATAAAACAGTTTTGGTACCCTTTGACCAACATCTTTTTCCCCTACTTTTCGGCCCCTGGTGACAATCATTCTACTCTTTATCGATTTTTTTTTTAATTTCACAGGTAGGTGAGATCATACTCTTTCTGTGTATCACTTATTTCACTTAGCATAATGCTCTACAAGTTCATCCATGTTGCAAATGGCAAGCTTGCTTTCTTATTAAAGGCTGAATGATACTACATTCCATATATATATATATATATATATATATACACACACACACACACACACACATATATATATATACACACACATATATATAAAACATATACATATTTTTAAAATTTTCCTTATTCATTCATTATCAATTAGATTGTTTTCCCATTCTGGCTATAATAATGTCTTTTCAAGATAGTGATTTCCTTTGGACTTATATCCAGAAGTACAATACTGGAATATAAGCTAGTTTTATTTCTAATTTTTCAAAGAACTATCATATATTTTTCTATAGTGGCTATAACAATTTACATTCCCATCTGAAATGTACTTTTACCTAAATTCTTGCCAACTCCTGTTATTGTTTGAGTTTTTGATAAGAGACCTCCTAATAGGCTTGAGGTGATATCTCACTGTGGTTTTAATTTGCCTTTCCCTAATGATTAGTGATATTAAGCATCCTTTCAAATACCTGTTGGCTATTTGTATATCTTCTTTGGAAGAATGTCTATTCAAGTCATTTGTCCATTATTTTTTTCTTGGTGGGGCTATTGGGTTATAATGAGTTCTATTTATATTTTGGATATTAACCCCTTATAAAATATATTGGTTTGCAAATATTTTCTCCATTTAATAAGCTGCCTTCTCCTTTTGTTGGCTATTTACATTGCAGTACAAAAACTTTTTGGTTTGATGTAGTCCCATTTAATTTTTTTTACTTTTGTTTCCTGTTCTTTGATGTCAAATCTATTGCCAAAACCAATGTCAAGGAGATTTACCTATTGGCTGTATTCTAGAGTTTGACAGTATCAGGTTTTATATCTAAGTCTTTAACCCAGTTTGAGTTGACTTTTTTGCACAGTATAAGAATCCAACTTCATTCTCTTGCATGGGGACATCCAGTTTCCCCAATATTTACTATAGAGACTATCCTTTCCCAATTATGTATTCTGGGCATTTTTTTTGAAAATTAGTTGATTGTGTATGTATGTGTGGATTTACTTCTGGGCTTTCAATTCTGACCTATAGGTTCATGTGTCTGTTTTTATACCAGAATCATTCTATTTTTATTATTTTGCCTTTGTAATATAATTTGAAACCAACAAGTAAGATGCCTCTAGCTTGTTTTCTTTTTCAAGGTGGCTTTAGCCATTTGGAATCTTTCTGGTTTCACAAGAAATTTTAGGATTATTTTTTTGTTGTTGTTGCTGTGAAAAATGCTATTAGGATTTTAACAGGGATTACATTGAATGTCTATATCTGTTGTTAACCTAACCTTGCATATAGCTAGACAAGTACTTTACCTCTGAACTATACCCTTAGGCTCTTTCAAAATGATGGAATGTTTTTGCCTTGAAGCTTAGAGGATACTTTATCTTGAAAGTCTATTTTACTAGGATATTTTCTGGAACTGTGGGCTCTTTGAATATGTAAATTTAAGTCATTTATTCCAGGAAAGATATATTGAATGTTTTTACCACCTACAGAGGTACAATTTATTTACAATAAGATTCACTCATTTTAAGTAACTAGTCCAAGGAGTTTAAACAAATGTTTATTGGAACATTACCCTAACCATAATAAAGATACATAAGTATTTTCCCTCACCTCCCAAAGCTTCTTTGTGCCTTTTATATGCAGCTGACAGCTGGACAATGGTGATCATAAGAATGCACTTCTCAGATTGCTGACTTCAGGGAACAAAGCAGGCCAATGGCCCTCACTTTTGTGATCTGAAATTCACTTCTACATCTGCATTGAGGATATATTTCCCACATAGGCTGCTTCCAGCCAGTGAATGGAGGAGTAAAAATTCTAAGGCAGTTCCATTCCTGTAAAACACAGAACTGTCTCAT